CAGGAGACTTGTCAAGACATCAAGACTTCACTTTATGCAAGGAATTTCTGTAAAGAGTACGTTTGAGATGTCTAGGATAGGCTAAATTTTCTGTTCATTGGAATTGGTTGTATGACGAAACATTGATGTAAAATTCCTGTGCAATATATGTTTTTGTTCATGTTCTTTTCTTGACTTGTTTTTGATTATACGGAAGTATTAATCTCTTTAAAAGTTCGTTTGTACTGGAAAGTATTTTTGGAACCAGAAACGTAAGAAAAGAAACTAAAAGTAAATTACGCTAGGAATAGCTTCTGTGCTTTTGGTCATTCTAACATATAAACTTAATGCAAAATTATCTGATGAATTAATTAAGGAATTAATAATTCAATAGATAATTTTAGAACTTGTTTTTAAGGAATTGAAACAAGATACTCTCATGTGAATGCTTGAACAGAGAATATATGTTGTCCAGGATCTTACTGTAATGTTAGTTAAAGACCAATTTCAGTGATCTTTTATCGCATTTTTCAAATCTTAATTTTGTTTACGTTGTTAATTTAATGTTTAAATCCAAATTAAAATCACAAATATCATCAGTAATTGATCTTGATAAATAATTTTAATTGATTAAAGTAACTCAAATTCCCTTGGGAGAACGATACATTTTTACTCATCCACTGTATTACTTGGAACGATTTGGTATACTTGCCAAAAAGTTATCAATCATGCTTGACCAATCATCAACCATGTCTCACAGATCAATAAGCACGTAGATTCACGTTTTATATGGTTTAGGCACGTGTAAAAGAAAGACATAAAATGTGATTATGTTATCTGCTCACTAGCGTTGGGCATGGGTTGGCTCTACTGGCACAAGTCTAGAAGACAAGAAAAATGTGAAGTAGCAAGTCATGTCCGCTAGGTGTAGGTCTTGTTGGGCGTCCTACTAAATACGTTGGGCGATCCTCTGTTTTCCAAGAAAGCTTGGTGTGTCATGTTCTTGTCTTGGATGTCTCATCTTCTAGTTCCTCTTGCATTCTCCATATCATTCCCCTAGCAATGGATCCATTGGTTGGACCAAAGTCATTGGCTTTACACCAAGAAATCCTCTATTTAACCTAACAAATTTGAATCGATGTCATTGTTCACTCCCAAAAGGATCAAATGTGCTTGTACTGTATGCATCCAAGTACACCTCAACTATGATGGCATAAGACTTATTCTTGACCGAGTACATGTTGGCTTACTAAATCAACATGTATTTGGTTTAGACATCTAAGCTTCCTACCAAAATTTCTCTTGGCCCTAGTTGAAGATTCGAAATTCCCTATTGACTACCATGCCAACCTAGTTGAACAATTTGCAGAACCATTTGTTACTTACCTTGTTAACTTCAAATGGGCATAAATAACTGAGAGCTTTTCTAGCAATAACTTTGAAACATCAAGTCTATGATGCTTAAAATTATTATCTACGATTATATTTAATCTCATCTTTTGAGAAGTACTCTTACTTGTAGATCTTTGTTCATTAATGAATCACTTGAACCTTAGGATTTCAAACCCCATGTGATTCTTCTACCTCTAGCAAAAGGACTTTCCCACCCACCACAAGTCCTAACAAATTAGGTACCATTTTGGTCGCCCCTCCTTTCTTAGATTCAATTGCCATCTTGTTCCTCAATTGGTGGAACATGTCTTTTGTCCCTAACTTAACTTATGTTGAGCCATGTAACTTACAAATTAAAAAACACCTTCAAAGCTTAGAAAAATATCCAAGTTACAAGAATTTTAAAACTTAAAGAATAGGTCAGTCATTAGTTGTGGAGACAGGTAAATACTAATAATACTTTTACTAAGTAGTTTGCAAGGTAGCTTATCCAAGATACTCAGGATCCTTTTATCCTCGTCAAACATAATGTCCTTTGGCCATTCCTTATACATAAAAGGATCATATGTCCAATAGAAAAGCAACTTAGGCCTATTATTCTCATCAAATGACACTGGCAAGTAGGGCTTACTACAACCCTAAAAAGTATATTCTTATATTTCTTAAACAATTAGGAGTATGTGTTAAGCAGACAAGTACCCAATTGGTTAACTAAGGATAACCACGTAACGAGAGGCCTCAGACAGGTAAGTAGGTAGAAGTGAAGAAAACATTAAGGTGTCGACAATAACTAAAGAACTCTACATACCAATCTAAGGCTTGGGGGCAACCCAACTACTTCGACGAAGTTGGGTGAATGAAACATTAAGAAGATAAAAACTCGTGGTGAACTCGTCAAAAGGTAGCCAAACATGAAATTGAGTAAAAAAGGTCATACAAACAAAGAAAAGGTCCTTTTCGTACTCTTCACGACCATGACATACATTCTCTGTAGCACAAATCCCCCTAAAAATATTTGATCCTCCATCTCCTCATTCTTAAAAGTATATTTATTGTTTAACCATGAGTTCAAGATGGACAGTCAACTAAACTTGAAAAATTATATATTAACTAAGGAATCTACCCACTAATAATCCCCTCAAGAGTAAGTCATCCTCAACAACCTCCTTAAGAGGATCTTCATAATTCTTTATGATCACCTCTCGAACTTCCACTGAGCCCTTGATGATGCATTGGAGGGTGACAAAGCCTCATTTCTATCACTACCCATCCCCTTCCCAAAACCTATATTAGAACCATTATGATTTTCAATTCGTTTTGGAGGAATTTGGATTTGGATTCAACTTTTAGCTTCACCATCGTGGATTGCATAGATTCTCCCTCCTTGGTTATGGCGCACCGGTACCGAAACACCTATGCAAAATGGATTTCAGAATTGTAAATTTTACTTCTCGATAACGAATTCTCGAATAACATTTTCTCATTTCCGGACTGACATTTCCATAAAGCACATCTATGCTTCTGGATTTCGCTTTCCGTAACATATTCAACAATATAATACGAAATTCATTTTTCGGAAGTCTCATGGTCATTTCAATTACTTTTGTATTGAGTTTTTTTTGGAATGATACTTTTTTCGAAAACCTTGCCTTCAACACTTCACTCACTATGCACTTCCAATAAAGCTTTCCAGAAAAACCCACGAGAATTCATAGTCACCACTATATCTACAAAGGTGATAACTTTCATATAAAATAATCAAGGGTAAAAACTGAATTTTAAAGAATCATAGGGTGCATGTAAAAATTGATGAGGATGCAGGAAGCAACGGTCACATATGGTATAGAACTTGATTACATTCTTGTCTAATATGAAAATTTTTCCTTGAGTGTTTCTTCCTACACCATCATATTTTCTTTCTGCACGCACACAGTACAGAGGAAATGGCCTAACTGCCCTTGACTTAAAAATTATTAAAAACCTCTCAGACAAGTCGCGACACCTCCATAGAGCTGCTGTACCTCCATTACCGAAAGTTTACCTTGCAAGTAGATTTTGGATTTGAAAGTATTTCTGATAGTATAATCCAAAATGTATTTTATATGCTAGATTGTGCAATTCAAAATACTTTTCAATTCAAAATCACATTATAGCATGTTAAATAACTTAAAATATGTTACAAATTTGTCAATCTACAAAAGGTATTCCACCATCCAAATTCAATCACCACAAAGAAGTAGAAGACCAACTCAAAGTGACGAACATCAGCTGTCCAAAACCCTATCATATTTTAGGAGCAGGGGTGTTTTCGGGATTTAAAAGTATGAGGTCTAGGAAGAAAATATGGGGGTGCGTGAAGAAATTCTCTTTCTCCTTCGCTACTAATTGTCAATCTCATTTGACAAACAGGTTTTTTGTTTTTCTTTTTTCTTTCTTCTTCTCTATTATTTATATACGAGTAAAATCAAATCAAATTACTTTAGCAACAACTCTCAATAAGTTATTCCCATCGTTTATCAGTATTTTGCTTATTAATAAAATAGATTCAATAAGTAATTTAATTTAACAGGAACTTAAAGAAAAAAAAATAGAGAAAAAAAGTTGAGAAATGAGGAGGAAAATTTTATAATTATCCCTAACATATATATATATATATATATATATATATATATATAAAAATATAATTGATTAATTAGAATTTTAATATTGCCTATTCCAATATTGGAATGTGGCTGATCTCAAGTTTTAATTTTATTAATTAAATTTTAGAGTATATTGTGTCGGATAAAATGGTAAAGTATTAGATTTTTTTTTTACTAAAAATATGTCTATTATTGTGGTATGTGATAGATATAATTGATGTAATGAAATTGAAGAGACCGAATTGAACCCATGAAAACTAAATATACTATTACTGAACAAGGCACTTTCTTCCTGCAACTTGTAACTTTTGTCTTTATAAAAAAAATTCCCATGTTTTTTATTTTAGATTATAATTTTTGAAAGTCATATTTATTTTTAAATTATACAATATGAAAAGTAAAAATAAATTTTGGGTTATATAATTCAAATTAAAAAAAATACTTTTAAATTCTACCATCTAAAACAAAAAGTATTTTTAAATTATGTAATCCAAAAGTGAAATAATTTTATTGTGTAATACAAAAATAATTTTAAAAAATAATAACTTTAAAATAAATCTAATAGTTATTTTTATTTCAGATTAGATAATTTGAAAATTATTTTTAGTTTTTAAATTACATAATTCAAAATTTATTTTTTTACAAAAAATTTAAATTATATAATCCAAAATTGTTTTTTATTTCTTGATTACACAGCAACATATTTCAAATTTTAAATTACACAATTTAAAAATTAAAAAAAAACTTTTAAATTATGCAAAGAAATTGGCATCCAACAGTTATGGTACATGAAGACAAAATGGCAATTAAGTCATTTTCTGACCTGAACTATTATTGCTATATGATAAAAATTTAATAAAGACACCAAAAGGAAAAGAATGAGCAAGAACATGGCGGAAGAAACGAGAAGGTTTCGAAAATGGTGGAACATCAGCAAAAACTAAAGAAACTCCATGAACCTTCAAGATTTTCAGTCTTTCTCTTAATAAAAACCTACCACATCCCAAAAAAACCCAATTGAAGATCACCAACTACTTTCTCTCTCATTTGATTTTATCTTCCAAAAGTTTTCATCTTTGCTTTCTAAATTGTGTGTTGAATACAGAAATAAGCATGTCTCTCATTCATCAACTTCTTGGTGATGAAAGCTACGACCCTTTCCTTTCTATGATCAACAGGTGTCCTGTTCTAAGCACCCCAACAGATTGGAAAGAGACCAAGGATGCTCACATCTTCATATCTGACCTTCCAGGGATGAAGAAAGAAGATGTGAAGGTTGAGATTGATGAAGGAAGGGTGCTTCACATCAGTGGTGAGAGGAAAAAACATGTTGATGATCATGATGATGATGACAAGAACAACAAATGGCATCACGTTGAACGTTTCCATGGCAAGTTTCAAAGAAGGTTCAAGCTTCCAGAGAATGCTAAGGTCGATCAAGTTAGGGCTAGCATGGAGAATGGTGTTCTTGTTGTCACTGTCCCTAAGCAGGAGGTCAAGCAACCACAAACCAAGCTGATTCAAATTGAAGGAAACTAAGAGAATTTCGGAACCTTCCATGGCAAATTCAACACTAGACTTTGTTGTTGTTCTGTGTGAAAGATGTGTGAATTAGAAAATAAACGGGTTTTGCTATGTACCTTACATGTTTGTGACATTGTTCATTGTTGTGTTTTGTACTGTGTTTGATATGATCGTCTAGAGTGTTATATATATATATATATATAATATATATAATAATATATATATATATATATATATATATATATATATATATATATATATATATATATATATATATATATATATATATATATATATTATATAATATTATATATATATATATAATATATATATATATAATATATGGTTTACTTCCAAAGTTCTTGGAGTTATGATCCTAGTTTCAATGTTTACTTTCTTTATTATAAAATGATGTATAGATTGGTTTACTTCCTACGTTCTTGGAGTTGTTATTCTAATTTCAATCCTTACTTTCTCTGTTATATAGAGTGATACTTACAAGGAATCTTTTATGCACATATTTAGAAATAAGCAGTTAATAATATCAAATGGAAAAGAAATATTCAACCTTCTAAAGTTGAATTTATTTTAAAAGAAATATCCTAAACTTTAATTTTATCTTAATTCATCTTTAAATTTTATTTTATTTATAAATGGATATATTGAATTTTAGCTCTTTTAATTACTCTAACTTGAAGTTTATTTATTATTTTGAAATAGAGACCTAACATTTTAGTATTATCCTCTTTAGTTTTAAAACTTTTCAATTTATTATACCATATTCAGTTAAATCATTTTCAATAAATATCAAATAACTTATTAAATTTTGTATCATTTTTAATATAATTAATTTAAAATATATTAAAATTTGATAGAAAATAAGATTAAAAAAATATTAAAGATCTCTTTGATTTGTTAATTTTGAATTTTATAATGTTATAAAGTTTTTAAATTGACAAGCTTAATTAAATTGTTCGACTACCTCTAGTGTTTATATTTCCCAAAAAGAACTATATGAGTGATAGCATCGACCTAAGGAACACTTTTGATGATTAGTTTTTAAAATTTGCATTATTGAAAATATCTTATGAGAAAGACGAAGAAAAAGAAAATGAAGAAAAGAAAGAGAAAGATGTTAATGGTGATGGTGATTTGGAGATAGATGATGATAATGTAAATGTTTACAATAATCGTTTTTATATAATGGACCATTATATAAAATTAATCAACATTTTTATTCGTTCCAACCAACATAACGAATTTACAATATTTTGTAGTGTCGGCTTGGCCCATGCCATATTTAATGTTATTATTTTATATTAATTTGTTATGCGTCCATTTAGAATGGGCTTAACCAATCTTTAATTAATGTTTTTATTTATTTATTAATTTTATCTATTTAGTGTTGACCTAACACATGCTAACTTTTTATTTTTTTAATTCAAAAATTAACTTCTTAACATCATTGGAGTCCAATATAACTGAATTTTTTAACTTTTAAAAATCATTAAATTTTAGCGTCGACCAGACTCATTATTTCTTTTTGATTCAAAAATTAACTTTTTAGCATCAGCCTACCCTCTAACTAAATTTTTTATTTTTTAAAAGTTATTAAATGCTGGCATTGACTTATTTCACCAAACACAATTAGCTTCTATTATATGTCTAATGCTATTTTAAGGTAGCTAATTATTTACATCTTGTAGTTTTCTATGTCTTCCCCCTAGTTTTAATTGTCTAATGTTTCACTAAAATTCAGTATTTGATATCTAGGTTGATGGATTTTTATGAGTTGACCAATAAAAATAATATGATATTTATGACAATTAAAATTCTAAATTAAACGTTAAAAATTGTCACAATTAAAAGTTTAGTGGTTAAACCAACCACAAAAATTGCATATGTCAAAAGACAAGAATATTTTAACTGTATTTTTGCTAGAAAAAGGGGGGAAAAAATCTAACAGTTAAATATCACTAAATTTACTCTTTTTTTTATAATTTATTATATTCTAACAATTAAAAACCGTCAGAAAGTATATTATATTTTATTATTATTTAATATTTATTTATAACCACCACGAATTATTTAAAATATGTTTTAAAATTTTAAAAATTTCAATTATTAATTATTTTTTATTAATTTTAAGTAAATAATTAAATTATTTATTTTATTTAAAATTATTTTTTAAGATGATAAAAACAGTATTAATAATTAAATTTTCATTTAACCTAAACATCATAACTTTTTTATATACCACGCACTTATAAAACAACTATAATAATAGGTAAATTAATCAAGAGTCAAAATCACAAAAACTAAGAAATCAAATAGGCCATTAAATTATAAATTTTACATGTTTTACCTTCAAATTTTACATATTTCTTAATATGATACAAATAAAAGGATTTCATTCCAGTTTTACATGTCTCTCACTATGAGCTCTAAGGCCATCAATCCAACCATAGCGACAAGAGTGAGGAAGATATATCTTGGGTAATTAATGTGAACAACTAAACTAGTAGTTAAATAGAATAATTTAATCATATATTATTATTATTATTATTATTATTATTATTATTTACTAACATATATCATTTTAAAGCAATACTAATCTATAAACTACAATCTAGAGACATAAAACAATATACACATTACAAACTATGCATTTTGAGCAGTAGGATGAAGTTGATAGAGTGAAGATTTTGAAACACGTTTATTGTATATGAAAGCTTCAACTTTCATATATCAATATTGGGCTCAGCAAGCCCCAGTTACCCCTGGAATCAAGGGCATCATAATACCTTCCTCTGGGCTTCCTAGAAGATATTAAAAATAGAGAAGAAATTGGAAGAAGACTTCTTCTGCCTATTACCTCCCATGATTGTGCTGTTGTTTTGGCTAACAATGATTGCAATAAACTAGTCTAATTTTAAAATTAAACAAAATATCAAAATTTAAACTTACCATATATTTTATCCACAAGAATTTGATCAATATTTATCAAAATTTGTGATGTATTTGGATTTATAAATTTGAACGTTTGATTGTAAAGTAATGATGTCCTAGAACTCAAAGTTAAAATCAAAATTCAATGACATAAAGTGTGTTGGGATTAGGTTGAGCTTTATAACTTGGTGCTTTGAGGTTGTTTCATAGTGAAGTTTTCTTAAGCCACATCTTCTTTGCTTGAGTTATGGAAGAAATATTTTAATTTTGTTGAAACCATCTTTTGAGTGCTTATGTAGTGATTCAGGAGATCAAGCTCTTGTCCTACATTTTGCTAATACTACAAAAATTCATTAAAAAATATATTAGTTTGGTACACATGTTCATATCCAAATGCTTTTAGTTAATTCTAGATAAAAGGGAGTAAAATCTTATTATATGCAATATAATCAATCAAAATAAGTGCTACAATGTATGTGAATTATAGGTAAAATGAACACTTATCACAATCTCCCATTTAAACCTTTTTTGTTCCCAACAAAGCAATTTGTATTTTACAAAAGACTAGGTAATGCAATTGGTTAGACTTAGAAGTTGTAACTTAAGACTAAAAAAAAGTTAAATATTAGAAAGTGGTTTTTAAGCTTAACTTAATCCCACAAAACCGGTTTTTAAGGTGAGGTTTGCACCCCATTTATATATTATAAATTGGTTTTATCTCTAGTCGATGTGGGATTTCCAACACACCCGTTTCACGCCGAGGTATAGACATCTCGAGCGTGAGAGTAGAATTAATGAGTGGTCCGATAGCAACCCGATAGCGGGTGGAAGAGAATGCACACATAGATCTCGCTAGGATAGGCTCTAAACATGGCTTTGATACCATATTAAGAAGTGAGCTTTAAGCCTAACTCAACCCCACAAAACTGACTTTTAAGGTGAAGTTTGCACCCCATTTATATATTATAAATTGGCGTTATCTCTAGTCGATGTGAGACTTCCAACATTAAAGGAGATGTAATCACAGTACAAGATGATATAACTCCTAAAATTTCAGCTCATGACACCAAGTGTATTTCAATTGTATAACCTAAATTAATGGATGTTCCCTTGTGTTTACATTTGATTTCAATTTGCCTTCCTAGTTCTACGTGTTTCACTTTAAGAAACATTTGCAATCCTTTCACACAACTTTGTATCTCATGTAAAATCACTAACTACATAAAACTCGGTGAAGATCACTAAGGACTTTTCAAGGCTTGTAATGTGGCTAGGCTATCAGGGGAAATTGGTTTTTCAAGACGAGCAAGACTCACTAAAAAGAAATGATATCACAACATACATGTATAGTGAGTTATTCATATATCATAATCCCTTTTTTTTCATCCTTTTATTTGCTCAGCTCTTTCATAGCCTAAGACAGTCTCTATACCATTTCTCATTCTTTTTTTGTAAAACTTTTTCACCCTTTTGGTATGTCAACTTTTTCACTCAGTCCTTTTGATTAGATTTTTCTATTTTTATGCTTCACATTTACTTCCCTTGTCCATTTAGTCCCCTTTTTAAATCACACACATGTTGTTCCACCTTTCTCATAAGTGAGAAAGGTAGAATATAAACATTTTTTTGATAATATGTGCGTTTATCCGGTTTAGGTTCCAATAGGATTTTTCATTGAAGTTTAGGATAATTGTTTGGCTTTAACATAAATTTAAAACAAAAACGGGCTCGATCCTTTCCTCAACTTCTAGTGTGTAAGTGAAAGATAAACAATCAACACAATTAACAAAAGGTGTTTCGCTTAGCTTATGTCTCATTGTTTGGCTCTCAATTCTTACTATGGGGTTCTCATCCTATGTTAATGTCCAGTTATGGAATGTATACATAAAGCATCAGATTTTGTTGAGGATCCTTACTTCATTCATATATTGGCACCTTCTTCTAAATGGAAACAAAAAAAATCATAATGCTATTAAACAAAAAAAAAAAAAAAAAAGGAGATAAGCTTCTTTCTTCTAAACTTTTTGTGAAACAAAAAGATGGCATAAAGAACATGTGAAATACAAACATGAAATATTGGTATTTGTTTCCAAAAAGATTAAACCCAAAGATTATGATAATCAAATTGTTTCATATTGAAAAGATTGAATAGTCTATCAAAAATAAAGGTTCTTATTAGATA